AAATTATAAAATAGATAAAATTACCATAAATAATATATCTTCTCGTGTTTAATGCATAGTATCAAGATAAATAAATATCACATATTAGGAAAAAAATGGGAATGTACTGTAATTAAAATATTGCAATATAGTTTCTTTAAGGTGTAAGTCGTGACTGCTGATACAGCATCCGGTCGCACGGGGAACCGAGACTTGCTAGTGCTAAGATAGCATCCGGTTTCCTAGAAGTGCAAAATTCGCAAGCGTAATGAAAGAAGATCCACCTCATCTTCGCGATCAAAGTGGGGATTGAGGAGTTTGGTCCACCATTGTGCTTAATAAATCAAAGAGCTACAAGTCAGTTGAACTTATGCCTCATTTGAATAAGCATTCGAGACATTAAAACAAAACATATATTACTTATTCTATCTAGCTCCGTTTGCGCATCTCATATCCACGAACTACGATACAACATAAATTTGGTGCTTAGTGTAGGGTGATGTAAGTGAGAATTTTTTATGAAGATAAAATCTTTTCTACCAACGGCTTTTTTCATAAGGATATTAAACTTTTATAAGGATATTCAAAGTTTTCCGAGGCCAATAACTTTGAATGAAAATTCAATATATTTTCCTTATAAACAATTGAAAAACAACCCAGGAAAAATGAATTGATAATCAAAAAATAAAAAAACAAAGCGAAGGTATTTAATCTCTATTATCACAAATCCTACCAAAAAAAAACCTAAAAAATCTGTAAAGGTAAAACACTCTTCAGATAAACTAGAATGTTGAACAAAAACAAATGCGACTAAATTATTCAATTAATTATAAAAATTTCTAAAACATATTGGAGACCTTAAAATAAATTTTAAATAATTAAACAAAGCTTATATATTTATATTACGTGAAGAATTTAAAGCTTATAGAAAAAAAGTAGTACTTTATAATTCGCTTAAACGAAGTAATACACCAATTTTAAAGGTAAACAATTTTATTTGTTCAATCGCAGCTTTTAAATATTCGAATAATATTAACGTTTTTGATCAGACGGTAATCGATACTTTTGAAAAAATACTAGACATATAGTAATTATAACATGAAGTTAACAATTTAGTAAATTAGCGAAAAACAAATAATTAAAAAGAAATTCACGATCTATTATAAAAGTTTGATATTCCAAAAAACTTGTAAATATATTGATACAAAATTTTATAATCAGAGGAAAAAGTAGTGTGAAAATTTATTGACAAATTATGAAGTAGAATAAGTAAACAAGTTACCATAAACTTAACAGAAATTTGCAAGAAACAATCTATTTATCCTTAATCACAAAAATTATAAAAAAGATGTTTCTGTTGAAAAATAATATAAATATAGATAGACTAATTTATCTATTAATGCAAAAACACGGAATAAAATATGAACACAATTTTTAAAAAATTAAAAAATAATTTAAAAAATTAGAAGAACATTTGTATTCTCTGAAAATGAAATGATTGTGAATAAGTATATTTATTCAATTAAGCAATTTAAAATAAAATGTGTAAGGCCATAAATAATACCTATTTTGTAAAAAATTAATACATTATGTGTGTGTGCGCGCGCGCGCGCGCGTGTGTGTGTGTGTGTGTGTGTGTGTGTAGCATGGAAAAGTCAAGATTTAGTCAAATTATTTATAGATTCTGGAACAAAAGCCTTTATAATTGCATATGCATGACAAAAAACTTGTAAATCTTGAATAAATCTCAAAATATATAGTAATGAATATATATATATATATATATTTATATATAAATACGATAACTATTAATTAAATTAATTCATGTTTAGTTGTCAACTTATATAAAAAATAATAGGATGCATGATGTGGAGTAATGCATAATGTACGAAAAGACTGAATTATATTTGACGGCAGGAAATGTAGACTAAAGAATACATTAATAAATAGAAATTCATACTAAAATAAAATATGTTTTCAGAAACAATAATCTTCAAAATTTAAAAGTCTTGTGGCAGAATATGGCGTATCATAGGTGCAATAAAAGGAAAACTTTTTTCTATTAGTTACAATTACCACAGATAAATATAAACATACGTTTAAACAACTTGCTTAAAATATTTCATACTACAACAGTAAATATACAAATATGTAATATTGAGTCACTATTTTATATAGTATAATATAAGTTATTCTAAATAATATTTGCCTCGAATAAGAAAGATGGCACGTAAATGTAATTAATAATAAAAATAAATAAATACACTGAAGAACATATAGTTGCTACTTACCAAGCATGGAAAATATAAAAGAAATTATAATGTCTCGCTACTTCTGTACATTTAATCTAATTTTAGAATTTTATTGAATATATATTGTTAAATATTTTTAAAATAAATTTTCTTATTATACTTTATGGTGTTTAATTTAAATGAATTGATGTAAATAACTTAATATATACTTCACCGTTTTAAAATTACGTAGTAAACTAATTAATGCACAAAATATTTCATATACACATATATATTCCACATTTATTAATAACATAATTTATAGAACGTTAAAATAATGTATTGAATGTTTAAAAATTTCCCATCCATGAATTAGAGAATTCAAAATGAAATAGCAACCAATTAAAAGAATGAATTTTGATGTGATTATTGCAGTAAAAATATTTTAATCTGGTGAATAAATTAGGTGAATATTATATAAAAAAATTTATCTTTTTTGTATTTATGTAAGAATATTAGTAAATTAATGATAGCATTTTTTACAAAAAGGTAGAAAGTTTACCTGGGCCAAAATACGAGCAATAAGATAAAAGTAACTAATTATTAAAGCAAGCATTGGACGCAGAGACTTATCCTTGTTTACCATATAAACTACCATGAAAAAGTTGCGCTTACACAGATGCGAACAATTATGTTCTGAGAGTGGTCTTATCTCAATACCGCGAGAAGTATGATAAGCCAGTTGCATTTGCATCGAGGACGCTCAATGATGCGGAAATTAAATGCAGTACAAAAAAAAAAGTAACCGCCATTGTTTCAGCTGTAAAACATCTTCGATGATTTTCGTATAAAAAACATTTTTAAATAAAATAGAATTGTCAAACGATTAAAAATGTTAATGCTTGTAAGGTATTGTTCATCGCGATTAATAATTTAGAACTTGAAATTAGAATAGCACGAATGTGAGAACGCATATAAAAATTTATTTGAAATTTAATGAACAAAAATACAAATAAATTATCGAAAAAAGTGAACATAATATAATGTGATTGAAGGCGTAAAAATTAAAAAAAAAATATTTACATGCATATAGGGAATAAAATCTTTACTTCCATACGTATTCATGTATTGATAAAATAGAAAAAATGTACACATTAATATAAATAATACCAATGATTACTACCAGGTTTCAACTATTATTAAAATATATTGTAATTTTATTATACTGAGTATTATTAGAATAAGATATATAATACCAAGTTTCATACTGTTTACGGTATAAAATTAACATTAACTGGTTTAAGGCGAAAGGTGTCCGATAGATTATAGTTATATGGATAACAATAGACATCACATATTAGGTAAAAAATGGGAATGTACTGTAAGTAAAATATTGCAATATAGTTTCATTAAGGTGTAAGTCGTGACTGCTGATACAGCATCCGGTCGCAGGGGGAACCGAGACTTGCTAGTGCTAAGATAGCATCCGGTTTCCTAGAAGTGCAAAATTCGCAAGCATAATGAAAGAAGATCCACCTCATCTTCGCGATCAAAGTGGGGATTGAGGAGTTTGGTCCACCATTGTGCTTAATAAATCAAAGAGCTACAAGTCAGTTGAACTTATGCCTCATTTGAATAAGCATTCGAGACATTAAAACAAAACATTAGAACAGATATTCTACTGTATATTTTTACGTTATAGAAGTTATTATTTGATAAATTCTGCAACTTAATATTTGTATAGGATAAATTAAATAAGAACCATGAATTCACTGAGAATTATTTACATTTTAAGAAGTATTTTTATTTTGATATTATTTTTTAATAATTTATCTTTCACAAAACGTAAGATTTCTAAAACTTTCATTGTATTAAAATACAAAACCGTTATGTATTCTATTACACAACGAATTACATTCTTTAAAAAATTCACTCGTATCTACACACATAGAACCATAAATTGTCTACAAATACATTGACTGCAGTGTACGATAATAATACCATGACATTTACATTAAACTTAACAATATTTATAAATTGTGAAATAACTAATATTCAGTACTACGAATGTAATAGTATTTATCATTTGTTAATTACTTTTAGCAACTTATATTTACTACATAAATATTATAAACATTTACTTCGAAATTATTTGAAAAATCTAAATAATTCAAACTCTCAATTTAATAGCCTCAAATGTTCATTTTTGCAAATTAATTCGAACAATATTGTTCGTTATCCGACCTCTGTACTGTTACACTCTTAATACGTATTAAGCTGAAAACTTATTAAAAATCGGATTATTTTTAATATTTATAAAAATAATTTTAAATGCGCATGTGCATTTGCATAGTATTTCTAATAATTATAATATTTCGAACACAAAATAACTTAATTTTTTTATTCATTCAAATTTTAGGCTTTTTAACAATTAAATGTTAAATAATAATTCAAATAGCAATTTTTATAAATGTATATTTAAATTATTGTATAAAATTTGTCTTTACCAAATCTGCAAGAAGAATAAATAATTTCTATATTATTTATTACTCTATATAAATATATCTTAGAAGTTGTAATACTTAGAAAGCGTCAACTTATCACATGGATAATAGTAGCTTAATTCGTAAATTATTATACTGTATTAACGTATTTTATTCATATAAAATGTATTTACAAGAAGCAATATTTTTCTACCGGTTATATAAATAATAATTATAACTTTACATATATTGATAAAAAATTAAATGATTACAACATCTTTTATAAAAATTTATTTATTTACTTTAATACTACTTTTTTACTTTTTTTCGTACATAAATACAAATATAAACATCCAAAAAACCAAAATTATACTTCAGTGTAAAGTATTAAAACTCATAATATGAGTCTTTCATAAATAATTATTTGTATCTAGGTAAAATGCGATGCTCTGGCAACTCGAAGTCTTTATCACTATCAGATAATAGTTCAATCATAGCTCTAAAAATAAAACAATTTAATTATCAATATAATTGATATGTAGTTTTTATAAAAATTAAAATTCATTTATAACTTTTCATCATAACAATAATTTTTTTTTAATACAAATAATATTACAAAAATTTAATTTCAATAATACATTTTTAAAATATTCAATTTCTAAATAAAATTACTTAATAACTAATTCATTATATAATTTAAAATGTTTGAAACTTCTTTAAAATTTTTTAATTAATAGTTTGATATTATAATGTATTATATTTTATAAAAAGTTAAAAAAAAAAATTAATAATTCAATAAAATTAATAACTTATAAAAAGACTAATAAATTATAAATCCTCTTTTACCTTTATTTTTTAAGAATACTTCTGCTTTAATTTAAATATATCAAATTTATCTATATACTTGGACTCTCTTTAAAAATATTCAAAATGATATAAGAAACTTACGTTAAAATATTTCCTTCATAAGTGCCCCAAGCAATTACATCTGGATTATTTATTTTGAATTCTAATATATCATCTAACTTTTTATGTAGTATCTCATAAAAGGAAACATATTTTATAATTATTTTATGAGTTAATGTTAATTAAATTGATAATGAGTATCCAAAAATTTTGTAATACCTCAATTAAATGGGCACCTTCGTTGCATATAAAAGTTATGTCATTCGGTATCGTAATTAGGTCACCTTCTTGTCCTTTTACTAAAAATTGAAATATAATATTAGCACATGTATATTATTTATCAATTGAATAAAAATTAATGAAAAAGTTAGTTCTTACCAATAAACATACTTGGTGCTGCAAAAATTAATGCAATCGGACTAACGCAAGTTGTATCAAATAAATAAATTTTTGAGCTCTTTCTTTTTAAAAAATAAGTCAAATATGGAGTCGGAAAATTATGTGCATAATGATTAATGCTAGATGGATGCAGGTATACTGTTTCTTTTTCAACAGTATAAGCTTTTATATTACTTCCCGAAATTTTTCTATTAAATTATAAAAAAATTTGTATATATGAAAAGAATAATTAAAAATTTAAATGTTTAGTAAATATATTAAATTATTGATGACAAATATAATGAAAATATAGTTGTATTTTATGAATATTAAAATATTATTGGATTAGCAAAACTGTAAATAAATACACAATAAATATATTATATTTAGTAATTAAGTTTGAACTATATTATAAAATTAAATAATTGATTAAAATGAACTTATAATGAATAAGTAACATTCATATTATCTTACTCTACAATTGCAATATTGGGATAAAATCCAGCACAGATAATAGATTTGATAAGAGACTTATTTTTAGAATTTCTATTAGCAACATGGTCTTTTGGGTTGTTGTTTCGTAAAAAATTCATCTCATATAAATAAGAAGCAAATTGTTTTTTCATATCGGATAATAACTTCATTGTATTCCACGAGAGAAAATATTCCTGACACAATGATCTCTTCATTCCTTTATAACCTATTTCCTCAAAACGTTTTAAAGCTTCACAAATTGCTATGTGATCACTGAACTGATTTAAACCAAGTTCTATTTTTTTTTTTATTGCATCTATTTCCTTTCCTAATGGACAGTAAAAAGGATCCTTGAAAGATAAACTTGCCACAATTGAAAAAATCGGATCTATACATGAAAACATCGCTGCCAAAATTATTATTTTTCCTACATTAAATATACAAAATTAAGTATTTTAATTTACTGAGAAACATAAAAAATATCAAAATATAAATTTATACCAGTTCGAGGATCTAATGGTAAATGAGCTAAATGATAACCTAAAGGAGTCAAATTTTCTTGATCATCAAGGGCCTTTAATTGCCTTAATAATTGTAAAGAGACAGATATAGTTTTAGGATCAGGTGCATCTAACATGGTAGCTAGAAAAGTGTCAACTTTTCCTATTTGCAAAATTTTAATTTGCAGTATTATTTCTTCTAAACGAATCCTAAGTATTTCAGGTAATGGATATTGGTCCAATGTTTCTGCACGAGCCTTTGTATATAAATGATAACAAATTCCAGGTTGTACTCTATAAGAATTTTATAAATCAATTTAAAATATAAATTAAGATTCTATAATAATTAGATTAATTTTTCATATAATAAGTGTATTTAAATTTTAGAAAAAAACCTTCCAGCTCTTCCTCTGCGTTGTAATGCATTGGCTTTGCTAATCCATTCAATATCTAATGTTTGTAAATTATTTTTAATATCAAATTTTGATAATTTTTGTTTTCCACAATCAATAACATAAACAACATCTTCTATTGTTATAGATGTTTCAGCTAGGACAGTTGAAATTATGATTTTACGAATTCCAGGTGGTGGTATATCAAATATTTCTTTTTGTTCAGCTGTTGGCATTTTTGAATGCAAAGCATAAAAAACACATATATCTAAAAAAAATTATTAACCATAAATATAACTAATTGAATAGAAGTTTCAGTTTAATATTATGCATATAAAAGGTTACCTTGTGGAAAATTATCAGATTCTAAAAACAACTTATGTAATCCTGTAATATCTATTAAACCTGGTAAAAAAATTAATACTGCTCCAGGTTTTTGTGTCAAACAAATATGTTTAGTTAAATCAAGTATTAAATCAAATGAAATATCTTCAGATTTTGGATTAAGTAATTCTTCCCATAAATCAACTGAATATAAGTTCTAAACATTATAATTTCTGCTATAAATTACGATCAATAAATATAGTTATAATTATCAATTCTTATATTATACTAACTATAAAATTTGAATATGTATAATATGATTCGATCAAGGCTTTATGATTTATTAATTCCATTTCTTTGTTTATATTTTTCTTTAAATATTTTTGCCATGTTCCTACTTTTCCTTCCTTGGGAAATTTAAAACTGAAAAATAGTAAACATAATTACATTAATTCAATATTCATGTAAGAATTAAAATGTTAATTTATTTACTGAAAAATTATTAAATTTTAATAAACACTGTTTACGTACTGTGTTATTTTAAGTATATCTTCTAAATAAAATTCTTCTACAGGAAAAGTAAATCCAGAAATATGCATTGAAGGACAATCATTATAATATTTAGAAAACTGATCAGAATTCAATGTTGCACTCATTAAAATTAGTTTTAAATCTGATCTCTAAAAATGAAATTGTTTTAAATTTGATTTATTAAATACTGTTATTTTAAAATAATGTCTTAACATATCTTACTTTAGGAAGAATAAACTTTAATAAAGTTATAATAATATCACTATGTATACTTCTTTCATGAATTTCATCTAAAATGATATGAGAATAATTTCTGAGTGCAGCATCTATCTGCATGAATTGCAATAACATACCAGTAGTGCAAAAAACTATACTACCATAAGGTCGAGCTAATATTCTGTCATATTAAAAATATTTTAAGTGTACATGCTTTTTATAAGTAAATAAAAAAATAATTTTCTTACAATAAACTTACAACAACTTTTAAAAAATTAAGTATATTTTATTATAGACTAAACTTAAATTATATGATTTCAAAATATAAATATTTTTACAATATTAAGTTTACTATATTCAATATTCTTATTATCATAATTGATTGAATATTCTTTTTAAAACAAAGATTGCTTTTTAAAAACTTCTTTTTTAAAAAAAATATATAAAACAATTATAAAATTTATGTAATAAATAAAATATCTGATCTTTGATATTGATTAGATTCAATAATTAAAACAATTTATGAAAATTATTGGTTTAAATTTTTAGTATTCAAATCACATACTTCTCTAAACGAATATGATATCCTACTGAATTTCCAAGATTCTCTACTCTTTCAACAGCCACTCTTTCAGCTACTGATATAGCAGATATTCGTCTAGGCTGTGTGCAAGCAATACATGTAGTACTGCCTCTCCCACATTCAATTTCATAATCAAGTATTAATTGAGCAACCTGAGTTGTTTTACCACATCCTAATATTATAAAAGACTCTTAGTTTAAATTCAATAAAAATATTACGAAATAAATAACACTTACCTGTTTCCCCACTTATAAGTACTATTTGATTGGCATTAATAAGATCTAAAATACTTTGTTTGTTTTGGTAAGCTGGTAATTTTTTACGAAAATCTAATAATTTTTTATATTCACTAGTTAATCTCTTATCATTTAATTCATTTAATAAATTTATATCTACACTTTCTCTTCTTTCTAATAACGGCTTAGTTGTTAAATCTTGTTCAATTTTATGTTGTAAATTTCCACTAATTAAACTTAAAAACTTCCTTTTGAACTTAGGATCAAGAATATGGTTATATTGCTTTCCATAATCTTCATTAATACTGTTTTGCAGCTTATAATTATAAGATTTCTTTTCTGTGCATTTTGGGTGCAAAATTAATTTTTGAATCATGTTCAAAGTAGATGGTCTTATTTTAATTCTAGATTTGGGTTTATATCTATTATTCTTTATCATTTTATCTCTGTAATACAATCCAATACTCTTCCCTTTAAGTCCTGGTGGTCTACCTCTACTAGGTCTATTATAAAATTCCATGGTCATTTCTGAATTATTTGCTTGACTAGAGCCTTCAGCTACAAATAATTATAATTTATTAATTATTTCATTGTTTTTCATGAATAATGCGATAAACGTCAATTTAATACAATTCATTTTTCATTCATGATTTATAAAATAATCATATCTCATTTTTAATAATACAATTTACTTTATACGATACTTCTTATTTCTTTTTTACTTTTTTTACAATTTAAAATAAATCTTATTAAATTAGAAATTTTTATAGAAAGCATTGATTAATTACCAGACTGATCAATATTTTTGTAGTGCATCCTATTATTTTTTCCTCGATGTCTTGGTGATTTATATCTACTAAATCTATTAAAGCACTCTGCTGTCATCTCTTTATTATCTGCTTGACTATGTTTATCTACAAAATAATTATAAACCATTAATTTATTTCATTGTTTTCCAAGAATAAAGTGAAACATGTTAAGAAACACTTAATTCATTTTATGATTAATAAAATAATTATATATCGATTTTAAAAATACAATTTACTCTGTACTGTATTACTCCTTATTTTATTATTAATGTTATTTGCCCTTACAAAAGACCATTGTTATTTCAATTATGAATTTACTTTACAAAACATTCATTAGTTACCAAACTCATCTGTATCTCTACAATACATGCTACTATCTTTTCCTCTTCTATCTTTTTCACTTCTAGTATCTTTTCCTCGAAGACTTGTTGGTCTGTACCTACTAGATCTATTAGAGCACTCTGCCGTCATTTCTGTATTATCTGCTTGACTATGTTTATCTACAAAATAATTATAAATCATTACTTATTTCAATGTTTTGAATGAACAATAGGAAACATACTAATAAAACACTTAATTAATTTTATGATTTATAAAATAATTATATATCCATTTTAATAATACAATTTACTTTGTTCGTTACTACTCCTTGTTTTTTTTTTCATGTTTTTTACAATTATAAAAATTTACTTTTATTTAGATTAGGAATAATTTATACAAAATATTAATTAGTTACCAAACTCATCCGTGTCTCTATAGTACAATCGAATATTTTTTCCCCGAGGTCTTGGTGATTTATATCTACTAAATCTGTTAAAGCACTCTGCCGTCATTTCTGTACTATCTGCTTGACTATATTTATCTATAAAACAATTACAAATCATGAATTTATTTGATTATTTTCCAAAAACATTGTAAAAAAATTAACATAAAAAACAATCCATTTTATGATTTAGAAAATAATTATATTTCGTTTTTAATAATATAATTTACTGTAGACGAGACTACTCTTTGTTTCTTTTTGAAGTTTCTTCTAATTACAAAAAATTAATCAACACAAAAATTTAAATTAGGAAGGTTTAATGGAAAACATTAATTAGCTACCAGATTGATTTATATCACTATAGTACATTCTACTATCATTTTCTCGAAATCTTGGTGATTTATATCTACTAGATCTGTTAGAGCACTCTCCTGTCATTTCTGTATTATCTGCTTGACTATGTGTATCTACAAAATAATTATTAATCATTAATTATTACACTATTTTTCAAATACAAAAGTGAAAAAAGTTAATGAAATTCATAATAAAATTTATAATTTTAAATAATTATTAAATTATATCTTGTTTTAAATAATACAATTCACTGGATAAAAACTACTTCTTGATTTTTTTTAACGTTTTATTGTTAAGTTTGTAACGTTCCAATTATAAAAAAGACATTTTTGTAATATTCGAGTTTTTGTATGTAAAGCATTAATTAGTTACCAAACTCATCTGTATCTCTATAGTACAATCTAATATTTCTTCCTCGAAGACCTGATGGTCTATATCTACGAGATCTGTTGGAGCATTCCATCATCAATTCTGAATTATCTGCTTCACTATATTTACCTAAGAAACAATTATAAATCATGAATTATTTCAATCGTTTTACAATTTATTAATCAACAATTAATCAATCAGTCAATTAATCAACAAGTTAATGAAAGTGGTAACTAATTTTCTAATTTATAAAATAAATATATCATATTTTTAATAATACTGTTTTTATTTTTTTTATTATTTTTATTTTTCTGTTACGATAAATAGGATAATTAAATTAAAAACAATAATTGTGTATCTAATCTCATGAAAAATAATTTTATTTAACAATATCTTATGCATATACATGACAATGCCATTAACATTTGTATAGCTATCAGAGTATAAAAATTATTTATTAACACATCTGACATAACCTACATGGATTGCAATATCTATTATTATTATTCAAAACTGCATTTCCTTTTTTGAATCACAATAGACAAGCGTCAATCAAAATATTTCCATATTCTATTTATTTTAATTAAAAACATAGATCATAAAATTTTAACTATTTTACAATATTTAGTTGTAAAATCGTATTGATACAATTAAATCTAACAGATTATAAAAACTAGTTCTGTACATCAAACTACTTTCTCACAGAATTATGTTTAACCAATTTGCGACAGAACTTTATTGCTCTAACAAACCCGTTAATAACATTTGTATGCATGTCATACTAAACAAATCAAAACAAAACAAAAAAGATCATAATTCATAAGTCGAAGTTTGAAGAGTCATAAAGAAAATCGGAGTCATTATTTTACATATCTTTCTCAAATTACTAATAAAGATTATAAATAATGATTTCTCCCAATATTTTTTACAATTCTGTTTATCACAATTTTATTAAAAGTACCTGGTCTGAATAAAATTGTGGGATTACAACTTCAATAGTTAAATAATACATTTAGTCTTTCGCCTCAGTTTATTCAATCCATTTTATTTATATCACTTGTATATAGCAGTTTGAAAAAATGTTTAACAAGTTTTAAAGTTCATATCTACTAGTGAATGTCATAAAAAAGATTTATATTCACACTATTATTAAAATAGTTGACTATCATGAGCATATATATAAGTATATTTTTATAATAATAATTCAATCAAATAAGTCATTCTATCAAATTAGTATTCATATAGAGAATGTATAATTATTAAATAATTTACGAAATTTCGACAATAATCAAAATAGATATAATTTCATTGATTCGACTTGAATGTTTTTTTTATTCAAATCGAAGATCCCCTAAAAATTTTCAATATTAATTACACGATAAATAAATAAAAATTTTACTCACTTTATATACCAAATAAGCACCTACAACTCAATAATAATTTCATTCCTAAAGAAAAAAAATAATTGAAAGTTTTTTCATTGTTCACAAAAAACTAAAACATAACCTCAAGAAATTATGCAGAAGCATTATACGCATGTGTAACTGCATAATGTTGACACCTTTATAAACTGAAGCTTTTTAATTATAAATTTCTATTAATAGAACTTTGAATACAATTGATATTAATTTTATTGAATTTGTCGAAAAATCACTTATGCTCTATTAACTTAATAAAACAACCGTATATTTTTTACAATTTTATATATTGATTTTTAGTGTATTAAGAGTATATTTATATTTTATTAAATCATATTTTAGATGTATTTGAAAATATAATTTAATAAATTAATAAATGTATAGATTGTAAATTATTAATGAATTTCAATATTTAGAAATAATAAATATCAATTAAATATTTTATTAGATAAATATTCTGTCTACTTTGTAAAAATTATTAGTCATTTTAATTTAATGGCTTAAAAAAAAAGCCTATCCCTGCAATGTATAATCTATTTTAACATAAAAGATAAAAAATATTTGTATGTTTTTAATACATTTATTTAATATTTATTAAATTAAGTTCGATTCAAAACGTAATAAAACACTTAATAAAAAAAAAATAATAAAAAAATTGAAAAAATATATTTTATTTTGATAGAATGGTAATTGTGAAATTAATTTGGGTATCAAATTCATTAAATATAAGGTAATTTATTAGAAATTTTTATTACATTAGCTATATTACAATGCATAATACTATTTTCATTACCTAACTAATATATACGGATAAGATAAAGAAATCATAGAATTTATCTTACAGTTATAGACAAGAACTCTTGAGACGTGTAGAAGTTAACATATCCTTCACATTCATAAGATGTGATAGCTGTTATAATACAAAGCTCTACAATGAACGAATTATTAATAATTAGAAAAATGTACAAAAGATTTTTGAAAGGCGCAAATATACGGAATATCTAGTTGGCTATCAATGCAATCCGAAACATCTTTCTCCTTCTCTCCTTCTCTCTCTCTCTCTCTCTCTCACTCTCCTGCTACCTTTCTCACTCTCTCTCTCTCTCTCACTCTCTCCTTCTACCTTTCTCACTCTTATTTTCACTTATTCTTACTTTTATTCTTTCTCTCTCTCTCGCTCTCTCTCTCTCTCTCTCTCTCTCTTTAATTATCGATATGCTATAGGTGATCATCTGTCGCTGACTTCTACCAGGAAATATGATCTTGTAATAATCTTAAACAATTAAATTATTCGAAATAAATAAATTATTTTAACAAAAGATACTTCATGATAGATATAAAATTAATATACCTATATTCTTACTACTATTTATTGTAACAAAATCTGTAATGAAATAAATAACAAATTTAAATTATGCTAACTGATTAGAATTAAAATGTTTATAATATTTTTATTTCTATGAATGTAGTAATGTTTATTACTACATTTCTATTACTATATTATTATTGTCTTGATTCATTTATTTAAATATTGACATAACTTTTTTATACACAAAACTTGATTTTTAATGATAAAATTGAAAATTTTAAATAGAAATATTGAAGAAAAATAAAAGACAAAATAAGATTAGAAATTACATCAAACTATAATTTAAATATTGTTATTTATACTTAATTATGAATTATATAAAATATTTACTATGAAAAAATAAATTCGTTGTTTATGTTATAAAAATTGTAAGAAAAGTCAATTTTTGATTTCACATAATATCACAACTATTTAATTTAACCAAAATCGAATAAAACAATTACATGACGATAATAATTTAGTATTTTTTAAACAATAAGTAAAATTAAACGTATATATAATTGTGATTTGGTTTACAGTAATATCTTGAAAATACACGTTTTCAGTTATTTATTATGAATTAATTATTATGATTAATGAATTATTATCATATTGTACGTTAAACTTGTATCATATTGTATGTTAGTATCCAAATTTTTGACATGAGAGAAAGAGAGAGAGAGAAAGAGACAGGGATGAAATAATCTGTGTCGCAGATGACTTTCTATATAGAATTCTCCTAAAAAGGAAGATGTTCGGAACTGATTCATGGTTAGATGCTTTTTAATTTTACAATATTGTAAAAAAATAAGAATGAATTAAAATGAAATAAACTGTAAAATAAAAAAACA